AATATTAGAAACTTAAATGGGCTCAAACTGACTAAATCCGCCCTGAACTGCAAAAAAACAAAAACAAATGACGTAAAATGTCTGTGAACAGAATCCAAAAGACTTCAAATGGATGCAACACAAAAGAGATTCAGACTGGCCTCAAACAGACAAAGACAGCAAACAGAAGCAGAGACACAAAGAACACAAATACTGGCAAAATAAGCACAAAAAGCCTGAAAAAACACCAAATATTCCGAATCCAAAGAGTAAAACGAGTCACACTGACTTTAAAAAGGCTGAAAAACAACATTATTTGTTTAGGTTTCAGTGGCCTGGTCCAGATAATCTTAATTAAAATGTATTAAGTAAGATAAACTGAATATTTAAGGAGAAAAAAGTCCAAATGAACACACAAGAGTGGCTTTTTCAAAAAGACTTAGCCTTTCTAAACCATGAAAATATCATAAAATGACTGTAAATGATACAAGAGGGTTCAAAATCACCAAAAACAAACTCCAGAAGACTTAAAATAGCTGCTAATTCTTCATTTAAACACAAAAAACTGGAAACAGGAGCTAAAGACGAGCTAAAATACGAGTTATAGAGAAGCAAATGAGTCCAAACTGATGGACAAAAAAATATTTAATACATAAAATTTAAAAAAATAGCCAAGCAGAAACAAATTTACCAAATTTAAAAGGCCACAGATGAGAGCAAAACGGCCACAAAGAGCCTGAAAAAGAGGAAATCAATAAGAAAACGATTGAAGTGAGTCAGACTAAAACACTGACAAACATTATTGGTGATTCAAATAGCCCCATTTTTTGTAGTCAAGCTGAATATTAGAAATATTAGATAGCAATTCTGTTTTTTTTTCAAATTTTCAAAATTATTTTACATTTTTTAGTCAAAATGAATTGATGGCAAGAGTAATTCTTTCTTTGAATTTTTTCTCCAATTTTTCAAAGGTTTTTTCATTTTTTTACCCAAACAGAATATTAGAAAATACATTGACAGTGATAACGATTCTGTTTTTAGTTTTTCATTTAATTTTTCAAAATTATTTTTAATTTTTTTTGTCAAACAGAACATTATAAAGAAATATAGGAATAATAATTATTTTTTAGTTTTTCCAATTGAAGTGAGTCAGACTCTAAAACACTGACAAACATTATCGGTAATTCAAATATCCAAGTAAGCTAAATGGACGTTTAGCTTTCTTTCACACACACACACACACACACACACAGTTACAGACAGACACACACAC